TTGCAGCATAAAGCTCGCTTAGTGGTCAAAGGTTTTCGACAGAAAAAAAGAATTGATTTTGATGAGATCTTCTCTCCAGTTGTGAATATGACTTCCATTCGAGTAGCTCTGGGATTAGCAGCTCGCTTGAATCTAGAGGTAAAACAGATGGATGTCAAGACTACCTTTCTCCACGGTGATTGGAGGAAGAAATCTATATGGAGCAACCAGAAGGATTTGAAGTTAAAGGAAAACATAATTTAGTCTGCAAACTAAAGAAAAGTCATTGTGGCCTGAAGCAGGCGCCAAGACAATGGTACAGGAAGTTTGATTCATTCATGGTGGATCACGAGTACACAAGAACGGTAGCAGACTAGTGTGTATATTTTCAAAAGTTTTCAGATGGAAACTTCATCATCCTACTGTTGTATATCAATGATATGCTGATCATTGGACAGGATACTGTTATGATCAACAAGTTGAAAAATGACTTGTCGTAGTATTTTGACATGAAGAATTTAGGCCCAGCACAACAGATTTTGGGCATGAAGATTGTTCGTGACATGAAAGCCAAGAAGATATGACTGTCACAGGAAAAATATGTTGAACGAGTGATTAAAAGGTTTAACATGAAAGATGCCAAGCCAGTCAATACTCCGCTGGCTAACCATTTCAAGCTGAGCAAGAGTTCTTGTCCCTCATCTATAAATGAAAGAAAAGAGATAGAGGCAATTCCCTACTCATCTGTAGTAGGGAGTTTGATGTATGCAATGGTGTCCATCCGACCAGATATTGCTCATGCTGTTGGAGTAGTAAGCAGATTTCTTTCCAATCCAGGGAAAGAGCATTGAGAAGCAGTCAAGTGGATTCTAACGTACCTTAAGGGTACATTTAAAATGTGTTTGTGCTTTGGAGGAGCTAAACCAGTCTTAGAAGGTTATACTAATTCAGATATGGCAGACGATCTTGATGGTAGGAAATCTACATCAGGACTTCTATTTACTTTTGTAGGGGGAGCCGTGTCTTGGCAGTCCAAGCTGCAGAAGTGTGTTGCTTTATCCACAACCCAGGCAGAGTATATTGCCGCAGCGGAAGTTGGGAAAGAAATGCTGTGGTTAAAGCGATTTCTCCACGAACTGGGACTAAAGCAGGAAAAGTTCACGGTACATTGTGATAGCCAAAGTGCCATAGACCTGAGCAAGAATTCTATGTACCATTCTCGCATAAAACACATCGATGTTTGGTATCATTGGATACGCGAAGTGATGGACAAGCAGTTATTGGAACTGACCAAGATCCACACAGATAAGAATCCAGCTGACATGCTTACAAAGGTGGTCTCGAGAGACAAACTCGAAATTTGCAGAGACATTGCCGGGATGGACTTCAAGTGAGAAGTCAGTCATGCATATGGGTATGGAGGGGGAGAATTGTTGTTCCAACCCACATGCATGAAAAACATGGGAAGGCAACCAACCAAGTCAAGCTTGGCAGCCACCAACCATAGCAAAGGTCAAGAATGGAGGCTACCCAAGTCAAGAATGAAGGCTCTCCCACCTACTCCTTTTGTGTATAAATAGAGACGGGAGGGAGAGGATGAGAGATATATCAGAAATTGGAGAGTAAGAGCTGTGAGTTGAGTGAGTTTCATCTCCTCCTCTGTATTTTGTATTTTGCTCCATTTTAGTGAAAATTCTCATTTCTGTCCGTGGATGTAGGCATTGGGCCGAACCACGTAAATATTGTGTTCTCTGTGTGTGTGTGATATTTTTCTGGGTGTGTATTTGATCCTAACAAAGTGGTATCAGAGCCAA